TTTTAGCTAGCGTTCTGCTTCTTTTATCTAATGTTCTGCTTCTTTTAGCTAATGTTTTGCTTCTTTTAGTTAGTGTCCAGCTTCTTTTATCAAATGTTCTAATTCTTTTAGCTTTTAGCTAGCGTTCTGCTTCTTTTAGCTAATGATTTGCTTACTTTAGCTTTAATCAAGTGTTCTGCTTCTTTTAGCTTTAACAACTCAATTTCAGCTCTTTCAGCAGATTTCGGCACTCTGCGTTCACGCTGCTTTTGTTTCTGTAGTTCACGATGATGTTCACTTGCTATAATCACATGATTAGCAGTGGCGGCCATGTTGGGTACAGTTGAGGGTAGGGGTTTTATCGAGCAGAACCTACTAGAACGTTGGGAGGTTCTGGTTCTTTTTGTTTTCTCCCTGAACTCTAAACGGGTTTTACTCATGTGAATTTTATTTAGACTTTTTTTAATCTGAATCATGTGCGTGTGAACATTTTCAGAGTAAACACCCCACACCCACCATGACCTCAGCCAATCAGAGGGCAGGTTTATGTGTTGCTGACCTTTGACCTTCCAGCTCTTAACATACCAACACTGCTGCCGTCTCAGAGGAATGCATAAATCAAATGCACCTCCTTTCTGCAACGCCGCTCACTGAAATAATTCATCCTGAGTGCTATTCACACACACACACACACACACATGCACACACGCACACATGCACGCAGTCGCACTCAGTCTTTTCTGGATGAAGGCGAGTTTCTGCTGCAGAGCTCAGATTGATTCACACAGAGATGGCAGCTCACAGCATGAGCGTGTGTGTATGCGTGCACATGCATGCGTGTGGGTGTGTGTTTGTGTGTATCACTTCAGTAGTATGATGAGTCACAGTCATGTGATTTTTTTCTGAACTTTTGCTCTGACATTTTAACATCAAAACAAACAAAAAAAATCAGCTGTTTTCAGACTCCTGCAAAAACACATCAGTTTGTAGTACACTCAAGTACTCTGTAGTAATCTACAGTACACTTAAGTACTCTGTAGTACTCTGAAGTACACTGAAGTACTCTGTAGTACATTGAAGTACTCTGTAGTACTCTGCAGTACACTGAGGTACTCTGTTGTATACTGAAGTACTCTGTAGGACTATGTAGTCCTCTGCAGTACACTGACGTACTGTGTAGTACACTGAAGTACTTTGTAGGACTCTGTAGGACTCTAGGAAGCAGAAGATGTTGGAGTCGTCAACATCTCTTCAGACAGATGAAATCAGCAGGTTCAGTTTAAGTTCTGTTTGAGGCAGAAATCAGACGCTGGGTTAAAGTTAGGTCTGTCACGATAACAAATGTTGCTGGGCGATTAATTGGCTCAGAAATTATTGCAATAAACAATAATATTGATTAAAATTTGACAATAATTTGTAATTATTGTCAAATTTAAGAAGAAATGTTTAATTTGTTTTGCATGTAGTACCTTTCTTGTACCACAGGATGGCAGTATAAGACTGTTTGAACCGAAGGATGGATAGTGAGGGAGCGAGCAGCGTGTCTCTAAGAAAAATGGGAGGGAGGCCCCTTGACATGACATGGGTTGTCCCTCTTCAGTTCTCAAAATGGCGGATGGTCAGTGTGGATTGAGCTCTTTTGCATAGCATTATTTACACAAAGCTTTTAATAAAAAAATCTGTAAACAAGTTCTCAGCTTCTTTTTGCAGAGAAAGAGAGAGAGACACGAAGAAACGATAAAGCCGATAAATGAAAGTGAGGGTGATAATTATCATTTATCATGCGACTAATTGATTTTGTGTTTATCGCGACTGGCCTAGTTAAAGTTTGGATTTATTGGAGAACGGTGAAGAGACGATCCTTCAGGAAATAAAAGCTGCAGGAGTCTGAAAGCTCTGATCCGGTCTGAACACCGGAGGGATGGTGCTGTTGGTGTAGATCTGCAGCAGGTTGTGTTATGATGGTGTGTGTGTGTGGGGGTGGAATTGTGACACAAGCTGTTGGGTCTGGATGAGTCGGACCCGTTCAGACCTGCCCGCCTCTGATCCGGTTCCTGCAGTTCAGCTTTAGTTTTTCTCTGAAGCCCCGTCCTGCCGAATCGGACAATTTGTAACTTTTTGGCTGCCGCTCGGCACAAAATAAAAAAATAAAAATAACAAAAATGAGTTTTTATTTCCTTTCAATTTTTTTCTTTTTTATATATCCGATAGATTAATAATAATATTTTTTTTAATTAGCTTTAAGCTTTATTTTGAAAGGCCAGGTTCAGTTCTCTTCCTGTTTCCTGTCGACCATCTGACTGAATCCTCCTGAACATCAAAGGTTTGATTAGAGACATGAAGTCTGGGCTTCTCCTGGATCTATGGGGGCGGCCATGATGGAAACCGAGAAGGATGAAAAGCTAATCACGCTGGGTAACTTAGAAGTCCCAGAACCTGCTGAGTCACTGGTCGTCATGGTGATTCCCGCTTTTAATTAGGCAGCAGAAAGGGGAGGAGCAGCACCCAGAAACACGTCAGGGAGAAACACAGAGCAAAAAGTAAGCCTCAGACAAACAGTCTGTGTGAAAACTAGATGTCGGATCAAAGAACTTTTTGACCCATGAGCAGCAGAAGCTTCTGATGGTACCACAGGTTCTGTCTGACGGTTCTACGGGGTTTTATGGAGGAGACTGGGCCACTTAAAGAGCCTTCACTTCCTGTTTTGATAAGAATGGAAGTCAATGAGCGTTGGGGTGTGTGACCTCTGACCTCTGAGAGAAAACCAACAGAAACCCGGCGAGGAACGAGACAAAATTCCTACGACTGGATGAAAAAATGAAAATAAGAAAAGTTTTGTTTGAACATTTTGCTCCTAAAATTTGTAAAAGTCATGAAGCTTAAGCTTTGAGTGGGATGTCCTGTTCCCAGGTGCTCCTGTCTTCAGGGGGCACCGCAGCGAGCGGACTCGCATACACCGGACACCCATCCTGACCTAGATGGGTTTGAACCTCCAGCTTCAGGATTACGAGACCGCGGCCCTGACCACTGAGCTACCTCACCCGCCACCCAAACTGTGATTGTGTAACAAATGCTAATGTAAAAACAGCAGGTCTGTCATGTCCAACTTTCTGTGACCCGTTTAAACCCTGACCAAACATCCCCGCCCCCTCCACATTGTGGTCGTCTGTTTCCAACAGCTGCAACCCCCTCCACCACCTGCTGACAGAACAAACAGAACCAAGAGGTCCTTTCTCCTGAAAGGTTCTGTCGGTCCTCCCAAACTGACAGACGTTAAAAACTTCAACAAGAAATGAAGAAGACTGTTTGTCTCCATGTCCTGTGACGGACTGGAGACCTGTCCAGGTGTCCCCCGTCTCTCACACAGTGACTGCTGGAGACGGACACCAGCTCCCCGAGACCAGCAAAGAAGAAAAACGATGGATGGATGATGTGCTTTGATGAAAACCTCCGTTCACAACGATAACTCTATAAGCCTCAGGGCCCGGGTCAGACCAGAACCTGGACCTGACTGACCTGCTGTAAGACCTTCAGGGAGCAGAAACAGAGTGTGTGAGCCTGAACGCCTCGTGGTGCTGTTTTCCATCAGAACTCAACTTAAAGCTGCAACAGAACCAGACTTTGTGTTTTTGAATCTCCAAAACCCGTTCTTTGGAACAGAACCTCCACCATGAGACAGCAACGGAACACTGCTCCATCAGCCCTGATCCTGGTGCAACACAGTCCAAGGTGGACAAGTCAGGAGCTAAATATAAAACACACACCTTCACACACACAGCAGGCAGGTCCTGCAGACCAAACCGAGCGCTCCTCCTGCTCACCTTCACAGAAACATTCATCTACCTCTGCATCCTCCTCATCCTCCTTGTGAACCCGTCCCTCATCTTCATCAGAACCTTGTGGTGCATCATCTTCATCAGCCCCCCAACCCCTCCTCCTCCTCCTCCTCACACAGCCGTAGGAGTGTGGGGCATCACAAACCAAGCGCTCCTTTTACCTCCAGCCTCTGAAGCCTGCAGCCGAACATCATCATCATCATCATCCTCAATCTGTAAATGCATCCAGAACCCAGCAGAACCTGCCGAACCTCCTGCAGAGACCCCCCTCCCTCACACACACAGAAGCTGAGACCTGGGCCGGACCGGGTCTTACCTCTAGAGCTGCTGAAGGCGGTGTACCAGGACAGGGAGACCAGCCCGCTCAGCCCGAACAACAAGACCGTCAGGAAGGAGACATTTCGGAACCTCATGTCCGGAACCCCGGGAGCATGTCCGCACCGAGAGGGGGGGGGGGCGGGGTCCGGGAGGGGACGGTGGCTGGATGGATGGCTGGATGGATGGACGGTTGGATGAAGGAGGAAGTTAGAACAGAACCAGAGGTCCAGGAGGAGCTCGGACCGTGAGAGCGGCAACAACGAGACTGAAGAGTAGAGGGCTGGAGCCAAGGACTGAGCCGGGGGGCGTGGCCACATGAAGGAGGGCGGGGTGTTAGGCGCTAAATGTTAAAGGGATGTTCCGGCCATTTCAAAAGGTGAACAAAATGTGTAAATAAACAATACATTACCTGTTTTAGATAGCTTTTTGAATGACCTCAGTTTGGAGTTTCAAGCCCAAAATGGCTTCAGAAAGTCAGGGTGGGGTTCCAGTGACCCATGTCTGAGTGAGGGACATTGTCGTATTTAAAGCTGTTTGATGTAAGCTCATTTTCACATTAAGCCAAACTAAAGACGTAATCAAAGCCAACTTTATAGCTATATTTTACTGAAAAAAATTGCCACATTTTTCATATTTGTAATATCAAAATATGCATACATAAAAATATTTTTTTCCTTTATTCCAAATATTGTATTTATCTATTATTATTTTATTTCTAATAACATTTTATTTGACGCCACCAAAACAAGAAACAAAAACTCCATTTTTGGGTCTGGAGGCAACAGGTCCAGGAGAAAAACTCAGACATCTCTCTCCCCACCCCGAGGTGTTCTCAGGACAGAGAAGACGCACACAACTTCTGGATCTTCCCCAGGGCCTTCTACCAGTGGGACATGCCTGGAAAACCTCTAAAGGGAGGCGTCCAGGAGGTATCTTAAATCAGATGCCTGAACCACCTCAACTGACTTCTTTTGATGCAGAAGAGCAGTGACTCTACTCTGAACTCCCTCTGGATGATGGAGCTCCTCGCCCTATCTCTAAGTCTGAATCTGGCCACTCAATGAAAGAAACCCATTTCGGCTGCTTGTATTTGGGATCTCATTCTTTCAGTCCTGATCCAAACCTCATAGGTGGGGGTTGGTACGTATAGACAGACCAGTAAATCGACAGCTTTGCCTCAGCACTCAGCTCCTTCTTCACCACGACTGACCAAAGCTAATTATCACTCACCCTGTCTTAAGAATATTCGTGAACTCCTCCACCTGAGGCATAGCCTCTCCACTAACCTGACTCCTTCTTCAGTTTGATCTCCCCCATCGCCACTGATGTCCACCAGCAGGTCCCTTGGTTGCTGCTCTGACAGACACCTTCAGGCTAAATCTTCTGGAAGCCACAACTGCAATAGAGGCCCTGAACATGGCCCATTCGGATTCCATGTCCCTGACCTCCCCTGGTACATGTGAAAAACTATCCCAGAGATGTGAGTTGAAAGCACCTTCACCAAATGCTTGGCCTCACCAAGTCTGCTTGGCAGTCTCCCCTACCACTGGATCCAACTCATCACCAGGTGGTGATCAGTTGACAGCTCTTCCACTGTTTTCACCCGAATGTCCAAGAAATAGTGACACAGGTCAGATGACATGATTACAAAATTGATTGACCTTTGAGCAAAGGTGTCCTGGTACTAATGCTCAAATATGGTGTTCATCATGGACAAACCATGCCTAGCACAGTAGTCCAATAAGCGAACTAGAGTTCAGATCAGGAAGACTGTTCCTCTCAATCACCGCTTTCCAGACGACTCTGTCATTGCCCACATGGGCATTGAAGTCATCCAGTAGAACGAAGGAATCCGCAGCTGGCACACCTTCCAGGACACCATCCTGAGACCCTGAGGTCGAGTAATCTGAACTGATGCCTGGTACATAAGCACAATCAACAGTCAGAACCTTCCCTCCTGCAGTCCAGTCACAGAGACGCAACCATCTTGTTCATTGGGGAAAACTTCAACACCGAGGCGTCCAGCCGGGGGCTTGTGAGTATCCCCACATCCACCTGATGCCTCTCTCCCTGGGCAACTTCCGAGTAGTAGAGTCCAGTTTTCTCCAGGCGTTGAGTTCCAGAGACCAAGCTGTGCGTAGAGATGAGCCTAACTATTTATATTATACTGCTCAACCCGAAACACAAGCTCCGGCTCCTTATCTGCCTATGTGATGCTCCTCATCCCTAAAGCTAGTCTTTGTCACCAGGAATTGGCGTGGCCAGAGACCCTCCCTCGCCTGCCGCCTGGCCTGCACAGCACCTAACCATGACGGACCTTCCCGCAGATGGTGGTCCCATGTGGCCGTTGCTTCCTCTTATTTCTTTTGGCTTTACCCTGCCGAGCCCCAGGAGCCACGGCTCGACCACCAGGTCGGAGAGCCTAGACCTGGCTCCAGGGAGGTGTCCCAACTTTTTATTTCTGGGGCGAGTTTTCCTGATGCCCTTGTTGTTTTTTCATTAAGGTTTTAATGAAAAACTGAAAAAATAATTAAATAAAACTCAATGTAAATTCTAACAGCTGCAACCGTTTTACATAAAATAACAACAAATGGAAACAAAATGGAAAATACTACTGATAAAAATGACTCAGGATTCCCATAAATCTAAAAGAAAATGTCAACGCATAAATGACATAATACTGTATAAATAAATCACCTAACAAGGTTGAGTCAGGTCCTCTGGATGGTCCGTCCAGAGGACCTGACTCAACCTTGTTTTATTTACTGTATCTACCTGGATTATTCAGCATGCATCAGGATAAATAAATCACATTTTTATCCTATTAAATCCAGTTTGGTTGAAGACTTTTGCTCAGCATGGTAATAAAGTTTGGAGCGCCCCTTGGTGGTGACATCATAAACATTATTTTATCATCACTTGAAATATTTGGAACACATATCTAGAAAACAAAAGCTACTTCCTGAAACTATTTATTTTCTGAAGCCCAATGGTAATTTTAGACTTTTATTTTGCAATAATCAATTTACTGTGATAGCTCTGCGGTCGGCGTAAAACAACCAACAAATCTTCAAAGAGAGTTCACGTCAACCGCTGAAGAAGGGAGCGGCCAAAACAAAAACATTTTATAATGATCTAATACGACAAGATGGCCGACGTTTTGACGTATAATCTGCAGGAGAGTAAAGAGAACCAAGATTGAAAGAAACGCTGAAGTTGCTGCCAGTGACTCACTGGGGGGTCACCGTGGTAACCACACACCAGTGTCTGTCACTCCCTGGCGGCCCTCTTAAAATAACGACAGAAACAAAGAGTAAAAAGTAAACCTCAGACAAACAGCCTTTGTGTGAAATCTATGAGTCGGATCAAAAAGTGTCCTGACCCGTGAGCAGCAGAGTTTCTGATGGTACCACAGGTCCTGTTTGATGGTTCTACAGGGTTTTAGAGGAGATATGACGTTACAAAGAGACCTCACTTCCTGTTTGGAAGCTCCGAGCTCAGATACAGTGGAAGTCAATGAGACTTTGGGTGCGTGACCTCTGACCTCTGAGAGGAAACCATCAGTCTTACAGCAGAGACACACTGGGTGGAAGAAGTCAGGGGTGGCTCACCGTCACTGATCCAGGTGCTAGTTTTGATTTTTTTTTTTTTTAATACAGATGTTTTTCAAAGCTGCAGGAGGACCAGTGGATTTAATTACAATAAAACCCAAATAAATGATAATAAGTGTGCTTAAAAGTTTGTGAACTGGCAACCCGATTATTTTACAGTTAGTAGATGAACAAAGTGCACGTGTGTTTAGGCAGGATGGAGTTTTTCTGTGTTGCTCTGACATCTACTGCGCACAGACAGGAAGTGCGCTTTAAATAAGCAAAAGCCACGTGATGACGTCATTTTTGCCCAATAAGTTTGACTGCTTTGGTTTTCAATTTTCAACAAACACACACAAATATATCTGGATATACTACAATATTTCTGAGTACATCCTGTATATCTTTTACTTTATACTTCACCAGGACATGTAATTATTATTATTTTTTTATTAAATTATTTATATTAAAGGTGTTGTTTCTTTCTGTTAACTATTTTTCTTTTACTGGAGCTGCTGTACCCTTAGGTTAATAAAGTGTTCTGGTTCTGAAAATGTTCAAATTAAAATTGATGCTAAATTTAAGGTTTTATTATTTTATTTATTTAGTGTGTTTCAGATTAATGGAAGTAGCGGGTAAAGATAATGGATGGATGGATGTTTCAGATTAATACAACAGTGTTGGAGATATTATGCTTATAATGCTTTAAAGTGACAGGAAACTTTAAAGTTTTTATTCTGTTTATTTTAAAACAATCATCTGTTGGTGTCAAACAGAACCCACCAATCCATCTGGACCATCTGGAAGGTGAAGAAGCAGCAGGAGTAATGTTTGTTGGCCACATCTAAAACATTAAAACACATTAATCACAAACGAAAGTAATGAAGCTGTTTGGTGTCATTAAAACTTATCTGTTGGGGTTTTTATTCACTTTGGTAAGCTTAGCTTTTAGCTACTATTTTGCTGATTTTAACTTTTAGCTATTGCTTTGCTAATTTTAGCTGTTGTTCTGCTTTTTTTAGCTTTAACAACTCAGCTTCTTCCACTGTTTTTAGTGGTCGTCCAGCGCTCAGCTCTCATTGAGTTTTCACTGGAACTGTTCATTTTTAGTCATTGCGTAACTTTGACAGTTAATTAAAAGTGTTTGGTGGTCATCCACGAACTCGGTGGTGGACACCCCGGGTTAGGGAGGCTGTCAAGTTGAAGAAGGAGTCCTATTGGGCCTTGTTGGCCAGTGGGACTCTGGAGGCAGCTGGGGAGTACCGGAGGGCCAAGCGGTGTGCAGCCTTGGCTGTTGCTGAGGCAAAAGCTTGGATGTGGGAGGAGTTCGGTGAGACCTTGGATAAAGACTCTCGGTCGGCTCCGAGGAGATTCTGGCAAACCATCAGGCGGCTGAGGAGGGGAAAGCAGCACTTTACTAACACTGAGTTCAGTGAAGGTGGGGGGCTGTTGACCTCGACCAGTGATGTCGTCGGGAGGTGGAAGGAATACTTCTCAATCCCACTAGCACGTCTCCCATGGAGGAAACTGAGTCAGAGGACTTTGGGGTTGATCCGTCCATAACCGTGGCTGAGGTCGCTGAGGTAGTTAAAAAGCTCAGAGGCGGCAGGGCTCCGGGAGTGGATGAGATTCACCCTGATTTCCTTAAGGCTCTGGATGTTGTGGGGCTGTCTTGGCTGACACGCCTTTGC